GTCAGGATTAATACAGTTTTCTGTACTTTACGATTCTAAACACCTCCGTAGTCCAATTTGGCGTGTAATCTTTCTCAAAAGATCGTCTTAAATTTGCTTACCGAGTTATCCTTGGAATCGCGGGAGTGTGACGGTCTTTACGCTAATGTACACCGTGTTTAAAAGTTTGTCAGCAATCGTGGCAGTCACATTCATGGGCCGCATCAGTAGTTCGATGCTTTCGCGCGTTGTATTCAGATACGAGACGTGGAAGCAAGCAATCGATCAATTTATAATTTCCATTGTGTAAATTGTTTCCACATATCGTTTTTGAATGTACGATTAAACCGTTCAACGACAGATATCTTCATTATGAAATATGTTGAATAATGATTTATATTGCGTTTTTTCAAAAATTTGCACGTTTGCGTTGTAAAATTCTTTTCCCATATCAGTTTGCAAATTTTTCGAACATCTTCCATCATCTCGAATTATCTTTGCGGTCGCTGTAGCTATCTCATTTTCACTCTTGGTTTTCAGCGGTACGGCCCATGAGGCTTACTCAACACATCGATAACAGTGAGAATGTGGAAACCTTTGTTGAATCGTGTATAAAGACGCATCTCAATATCAGCCTGTCACAGGTCATCGTATCCATAAACTATGACACGTCTGCGTGGAAATTTTTTCTCGCCGGAGTGTGCAGTTCTTCTATCAGTCGCCACTTTTCGAGGCTTTTCTTCTCAGACATGTTACGTTAGGTTATGATTATTGCTGTATAATATGTGAAATATCATAAAGTTCTTATGAAAACGTTATTCATCGGCATTTCGATGTCAATTAAAATGACTGTGTATTTCAATTTATAATAAAGCCAGCTAAATTGAAATAGAATACACGAAGCGATTATCCTCGATAATAGACAATATTTCGTTATTTTATACCTGCCTGACGCGAGGTCAGCAATCGAAGACGATCCATCAGCTCGTCCCAATGAACATAATCGATTTTATTATCATTTAAGGTCATGGTGCGTGATATTATTGGGAGTACAAATAAAGTTTCGCCGTTTGCAAAAGACGGCGCCACTAATAAATTATAGTTAAAATTGTTTGATGTAAAACGACATATCGTAAGATTAGACATCCGGCAACCATAACCTTGAAATATTAACGATTTTGTATCAGCATCATATATTTCTTTTTGTACGAAAATGTCGAGTTTTGAGCTGAATAAGCGTCATTTGCGGGAACTTGATTTACTTCTTTTGAAGAAATCTGCAGCTCATAGATTGCTTGTAGAAGCATATGGTGCTGCCTTAAGTGAGAGAAGTTGTCGTGAATGGTTTCAAAAGTTTAAGAACGATGAATTTGACGTCGAAGATAAAGAATGTAGCGGAAGGCCGAAAGTGTACGAAGACGCGGAATTGGAAGCATTATTAGATGAAGATTCCAAACGCAAAAAGAACTTGCACTTACATTAGGAGTGACTCAACAAACAATTTTATATCATTTGAAATCATTGGGAATAATTCAAAAGCAAGGGAATTGGGTTCCATATAAACTGAAACCGAGTTGAAAAACCGACGTTGAACACCGATTTTTCATATGTGAAATGCTACTTGCCAGGCATAAAGGATTTTTTGCATCGTGTAGTCATTGATGATGAAAAATAGATCCACTTCGATAACCCAAAGAAGAGGAAATCATGAGGTCCACCTGGCCATGCTTCAACATCGACAGCCAAGCCGAATATTCATGGAAAAAAACTCATATTGTGTATTTGGTGGGATCAGCTTGGTGTCGTGTATTATGAGTTGCTCAAACCGAACAAGACATTACTGGGGCTCTCTACCGAACACAATTGATGAGATTGAGCTGAGCACTCAAGGAAAAACGCGCCCATTACTATTCCAAGCATGATAAAATGATTCTTCTGTATGATGCTCGATATGTTGCGGCGCCAGCCAAAACTTACTTAGAAACACTCAAATGGGAAGTTCTACCCCACCCGCCGTATTCTCCAGACATTGCTCCTTCCGACTACCATTTATTCCGATCGATGACGCATGGCCTGTCTGAGCAGCATTTCACATCATATGAAGATAGACCAAAAATTGTATCGATATAATGATTGGATATCCTCAAAAGATGAAGCATTCTTCCGACGCGGTATCTGTGCTACCAGAAAGATGAGAAAAAGTAGTGGCTAGCGATGGCCATTACTTTGAATCAAACATTATGTACCGTTCTTTCACAATCAATGCTTAATTTTTTATAAAAAACGGCGGAAACTTATTTGTACTCCCAATAAAAAAATTTTTTTTTCGAGTAATTTACCATACAATTTTATTTTCAATTTCGGTACTTCAATTTCATTATATATATTAAAAAATTAAACATTTTTATGGTAACTCGATTTACTAAAGAATTATCTTAAAAATTGGGCTCCAATTATGTACTGTAAACGTATATACTCTGTTCAACGAGAGAATGACCTCGGTTTGCGCATAACAGGCAATGTAAAGCGGGGAGCACAGCTCTTGTATAACGCATAAGAAAATGTACCAATCTGAAATTTTTCGTTTCTTTTCTTTCTGTGAAATAAAGAACTCTGATTGGTTCAATTTCTTATGTCTCATGCGTTATGCAAGAGTCTGTGCTTCCCGCTTAACGGTATATAACGCGCAAATAAAGACCTGCGCAAAACGAATGAGTTTCCATCCGATCCGAGATTATCCTCTCACTGAACGGAATATAGTTTATATCATATCATATACATATTATGAGCCCGCGCTCATATATATTAGGCCCATATTCAGTATTTATTAATAAAAGCGCGCTTTTATCTCTGAAATTCTATATGTAACGTAAACTATACCATATTAGCGCCTTAATATATTTCTGAATATGGGCCTATATGTATATAGCTTTTCAGTGACATCCATAGTGTATATTGGAACGTAAGAAAAATTTTTAATAATCTGAAGACACTCTGGTAGTGTCTCGGCGCTAAAGCACGCGCAGCGATATACTTACAACAAATTAAATGAGACGAATGAAATAATAAAAAAGTGAGTTAAAAATTACATTGCAAATATATTTAATAAAATCTAATTTAACAGGCAAATACTGAAAGAGAGAAAAAAATATATTTTTTTATCTGAAGTTTTGAATAGTAAATTTCGCGTTATCCATCTTATAATACATGGAGATATTACATCATTGCATTGTTGCAAGACTTATCCACATATTTAGTGGGGATACCTACATCAAAGACAAAATCATTTATTATGAAAAAAGGTATATGGTATGTAATTAAATAAAGATTGGCTTATAAATATTTTAATTATATTAAACAAATCATATTAAATAAAAAACATTAATGCCCAATTTCTTTACCTCTAGATAACTTTATCCAAGAGATATCTCCCAGAATACATATATAAATTGAAATTTTATGTCGAAAGTTTTTGTCACAGAATTCTATTCTTTTCAGCTGAACTTCTTGCACGTTTATTTTTTTCTCTTTTTTTTTTTACATTAGAGATTCGAGAAAAAATTTTTACAATCACATATAAATATATATTATTATATGTCAAATACGTACGATAAAAAAAGCCAAAAACGATCTTTGGATGTTCAAATAATACTTTCTATATATATAATAATACTTTATATATTCTTATATTAAATTAATTTATTTCAGATATGATTGAGAGTCGAAAATCTTTCGGTTTCAACACAATCATTCTGAAATCCTAATAAACCCCCCTAAATTAGAAGAGACAGAAAGAAAGTAAGAAACTTATTATGAAATATTACCTCAGCCAGGATATTTTTTGCAATAAGCTTCTTACTTTCTTTCTGTCTATTCTAATTTAAGAGTTTATTAGGGTTTCAGAATGATTGTGTTAAAACCGAAAGATTTTCGGCTCTTAATCATATCTGAAATAAATTAATTTATAAGAATATATAACGTATTATTTGAAACATCCAAATTTGACCGTACTTAGCTTTCTTTATCATATTTGATGTATTTATATACATACGTTCGTGCTTAATAAAATTCTTAAATTATTATATGCATCTCATATATCATTATATATGAAATTATGATCATATAATTTCATACATGATCATGTATATGATGTTATATAGCTATTAAACTGATTTGTCATACATATATCGTATGTCCACTAACATTCAATGTTCATAAATTATCGAAGTATCTCGTAAAATCACAAAAGTCAAGCAACATACGGCTTGGGATGGGCGATTAAGATAAATAAATACAAGATAATCATGGGTAGCGAAATATATATGACTGGCGAAGTATTCTAGGGTTACGAATTTTCGAAATAACTACATGTCATTATGATGGACGGAGCATATTTACATACCGCATACAAAATATTCTACATATTTACAAAAATAGCGATTACAATAATTATATTTGCGTTAGAAAATGATGTGTGTGTGTGTGTGTGTGTGTGTGTGTGTGCGCGCGCGCGCGTGCGTGCGTGTGTGTGTGCGTGCGTGCGTGTGCGCGCGCGCGCGTGTGTGTGTGTGTGTGTGTGTGTGTGTGAGTCGAAATACGTTTTAATTAATACTTTAATTCATTTTTATAATTTTTAAAATCGTTAAATTATAATTGTTATTCATAATTTGTCTTAGAGAAAGTACAGCAAAACATTTATAATATTAACATTTATAATATCACTTTGCTGCATAAGTACATAGAAGATGAAAATATATAAATATATTTATGTAATCGCTAATATTATATGTATAATACACTGAAAAAACGATTTTGATAAAATATCTAAAAATTTAGCTAGATTTTGAAATTTGAAAATAATTTTGTTGATTCTTGAAATAATTACAAAATTATTCCAATAAAATTATTTCAGGAGTTCAATAAAATTATTTTCAAATTTCAAAATCTAGCTAAATTTTTAAATACTTTAGTAAAACCTTTCCTTCTATATAACAACGTTTTATGTGGCAAAACGTGTCCTGTCAAATTCTCCCAAAATATCGCTACACTGACATAACTGATATAATATTCTCAGCTATAAAATAGTAATAACTTTTATTGCATTCTCATATGTAGCAATTACAACATAAATTTCACAAATTCGCTCTATTATCAATATATTCGTCATCGTCTGCGAACTTGATGCCATCCTCATTTTCACGGATCAGATCGTAGAAGGAATCACGCGATTCGGTCTTTATGTCGCTCTCGACTCCGTAATCAGGACTTTGAATCTCCTTCTTGGACAAACTGATGTTTAAGTTGTCCGTCGTTAATCTCCGTGCTGTCGCCGGTGAATTCAATCGCGGCCCCGAGAACTCGATCATAGGAATATTAGTACAATCCGAAAGTTTATTGATTTCACGTGGTTGCGTAAATTGCGTGAAATCTCGGTACTTGCATGGACCGCTCATTATGTTTAAATTTGTCGTTAAAACGATGTCCGATGTGGGATCATCCTTAGCACTTTGAAGAGTCCTGTTTTTGCCGTCTATATATCCCTGAGTCTTCGAGCTCATTGATTTGCCAGACAGTTTGGATATATTTTCATTTTTTAAGCAATGATTCTTCTTCTCGTTCTGAGAAATATCCTTTGTTTTTTGATTTACGTAAGACTTTGAGGTACCATGATGAAGGATTGCATCTTCGGGATACCTTTGGAAAATTTGTTTCGATTTCTCCAATTTATCCTCTGACTTGACTATAACGCAATCGGCAATATTTACATGACTATCCTGTGGACCGCCTTTCAAAGCGTTCTGTTCCTGAGAAATATCAGTGCTGTGAAGGCGATTGGGAATGCTGCATTGTGTCCTATCGATTGCAAGTTGACTGCACAGAGACTCCTCGCTGACCCGAGTCCTGGAGTCCTCTAAGATCCGATGAATTGGCAGCAGGCGTTCGTTCAGTCTAGCAGTTCTACTTTCGCTGATGCTATCCTCGGACAGAACGCTACCGCCTGACGACGAGTCGTTTTTCGACGACGACGAGGACGTCGAGTCCTGGCGTTGCTGCTCGAGACTCGATCTAGTTTCCTCGATACTAGATGCGATTTGATGTCGCATACGTCGATACTCGGCCGGGGTCAGGGTCATGCCCTCAGTGCTCTCCGGCAGTCGATACAATGCCGGACTCGTCGTGCCTTGAAAACAATCCGGACGATCCGCACATGGATCTTGAGAATCCTCAGACATCGACAACGGGGGTATCCATAGGAGAAAAGCTGGATCCATACCTAAGTACGAGCCTGGCGCGGCGCCGGCATTTGCAACGTTATAATCATAATAGTCAAGCTCCATATCCGTCTCCGGATTTGTCAGGCTGAACTCCGAACCCGGTCCTTGTAACAATCGCTCGCGATTTCGACGATCCTTCGTCTCTTTACCACTGCGGAGTGTAGATGTGCCTGATAGTGGGCTGTTCGTCGATGAATCCTAATAACATTTTTCGATTTTAAAAATTAAATAACTTTTTGGCTAACGCAAAATGTTTAATTAAAATTAAATTTACCTTTTCCTTAAATTTTCTTTGAATAACAATACGTGATTTATCTGACACATTTAAATAATTATTATAGATCTTTTATCATATTTAAGTTTTTTTATCATTTCAATTTATTTATCTCAACTTAATTAAAGTTAAGCATATTTATAAAATATCGCTGCGTTATCGGAATTAGAAGATTTAGAAGAAAATTTATTTCATTTCTTGCTTTAACTTTCACTTCTTTGTGTGATTTTTTAAAATGAAATATACATAATCAGATTAGATCTCTACCTTAGACTGCAAACGATTAGGCGTGTAACGATGAAGTCTTGCAATATGCGGACTCTCGGTAATACTCGCTGAGTTTTGACATCTCATGTTGCTCGACATCAACTTGTTCGCAGAACTAACAGATCCCAGAGTTCGTAATCTACAATGTGAATAATGTATACGTTATTTTAAACTGTTTATTTGATTATATATTGAGAGATTATATATTCACATAAATATTATATAAAATTTCTCATTGAAAATAGTGAGTTATAGTTACTTGATTGGTTGGGCATATTTTATTTCTGGCTGACCAATTGCCATAATAGCCGATACTGTCACCGATGGTTTATCGGTGTGCAATTTATTCGGTATCACGCTTCTCTCTGTACAGCTTTCGTCGTCGTCTCGAAACTTCAAGGTAGTCGAGCTCAAACTAGTTTCATCTTCATATCTGTTATACCAAAAATATACCTTAAAACGCTGATATATAGGTCGCGATAAAACATTTAATGGATCGATAACTCTTTCATAGAATGAATAATGCAAAATCATGTAATTCTGAGTATAATATTAAAATATTAAATATTTAAATACGATTGAATTAAATATCAGGAATCAAAATATATCAAAGGAATCAAAATATATTTCAAAATTTTAATATTAAATATTAAGCAATGAATTGTTATTTACTCCGCCAAAGTTTCCGAACTATCGTAACCATCCTCCGCACAAGGTGCTATTTTACGTTTCGACAGTTTTGGTGTGCACTTTTTTGGCAATCCCACTAGAGACACGACTTCCGAAATTAACGTCGTAGAAGACATCGATTTTGCTCGGCCTACCATCATATCACTGCATCCTAAATAATTTATTAATTCTAACATTTTCATTTTCTGA